TCCTGGGCTAATTTTATCATTGTGCGGGCCTATTTCTCTAAAAATTTCCATTTTAGGAATGAAAAAAGTTAAAAATTTAATTCCGCCCAAAGTTACAGTATGTAATGCGGGCCCAATCCGTGAAAATTTGGTGCGGCAGCTAGGTTCAATGAAGTACTCCATTATAATAAATATTTGCTATAGCAGTACTATAGCAATATATAATAGAATGATGATTATAAAATGTTCTAGAGAATTAAATTTACTCCGTTATAGTAAGAAATCCGCTTTAACTGAGTTCAGTATAAGGAGGATAAAGTGTATATTAGTGATGTTAAAGTTCCGTCTGGTCAGACTCGGCTCCAAAATTCAAGTCAGTCAACCCGAAGTTTGGTTTTTGCAATTTTTTAATTTTACTGTAAAAGTGGATCTCAAAATGTCCGATTTAGGTCAGTATTTAGCAATACGCTGGGTAGCTTTACTTAATGAGTGAGCGAGCTATGACATCATTAGTAAAACTTTAGTGACCTTGGGCAAAATTAATTAATTCCGGCCCTGCCGATCATGATTCGACACGGACCTTCCTGTACGGCAAAAATACAGTTCCTGATAGGGTGGAGAAAAAATCGATTTATATACCGTTCCTGATAAGGTTCCAAAAAAGGGCCTCCAAAATACTATAATGAAAAAAGTTAGGATTTGAGTTCGTTTTTAGAACCCTATCAGAAACATTACTCAAATATATATATTTTTTTTTTTAACTCCACTAAGATCGGAATAGTATTTTTGCTCCTGTACGAGTTCTAACTGTTGACACCTAAATGTCAGCTATAGGCTAACTTTCTTCTGATCTGACCTATGTTTGTATTTATATAGTTTAAAGTATTTTTTAAGAATGTAACATTTCACAAGTAAAAGGTGAAAATTAAAACCGTCTCTATCTTCAGTAAAGCCCCAACAGTTACTATGCAAAATAACCCATAAAGATTCTCAACCTAGAGGTGTTTTACTTAGAAAGTAAAATTTCTACGTATATTATAAATACAGAACTATATATGATTACTAAATGGTCGAATGTATTTGTCTTAGTAAAAAAAAACTAATAAAACAAACTTTTTTTTAAAAAATAGATTAACCATTTTGCTGATCTATATCTATAGTTTTTTAAGACAGTGTAAAGAACTTTTAGTATGTAAAAAAATGATGTTACAAGGAATAAAATCGTTTAAAATTTTTAAAGATCATAAAAGGCTTATATGGGTTTAATGAATTTTTTTCATAATTGACGTTGGTTATAATAAACTATAGGTTTTTAGGTCTCATTTTACTTCAGTGTAGTAAATGAAATAGGCTTTAGGAAAATATATATGTCTAACAAAATATATTTGACCTTCTTCATTCTTTTATTATAACGATGAAGCTAATTTTACAACTATAATTTTATTGGCGAATTGTCACATGTTGGTGAATATAACCAATTATAAAGCAATACGTATCAATTTCATGTGATCTACCAATTAGTCTATAGGGATGAAATGTGTGCAGGTTTGTGGCACATATTGTCTAAAATAATCTTCCCAGTATCACCATAAAAATTTGCAGTCACATGACAATTTATGTGGCAAAACCAATCATATTTCGAGATCAGGTGTAACGTAACACGATCAGGAAATTCAAAACAAAAATTGATTATTTCTCAAAAATTCGCATAAGAGACCACCTTTAGTGCTCTAACAAAAAATTTTCCTTGAGTGATTTTACTATATTTTTTGCTAATTCTTAACCCTAATGTAGACACAGAATTTGTCATTTCGTGTGACTGCAAAATTTTTATGGCGATACTGGGTAAGACGAATCAGATTTCAGAATCAGGAGTAACGTAACACGATTAGAAAAATTCAAAAAAAAAGTTCATTTGTCAAAAATAGCTTATTTCTCGAAATTTTGCATAAGAAACCTGCTTTAGTGCTTAACAAAAAGTTTTCATTGGATGGCTTTACTATATAAGGTCACGCAAAGTTAATTTTTCTTTTGCATAATCCGCCGACCCATTTTTTCAATTTTTCAAAAAAAAAAATTTTTTTTTAAAGTCCCAATTATGCCAATTATTCTATTTTTGCTATTTTTGCTATTTAATTTTTCTATCAATTTTATCCGATAGAGGCCTTGGTATTCTGGAATTCTCAGATAAGTCCGATAGAAAAAAATATCTCAGTGTTGACCCAAGTTACTGATTCCATGCTATGCAAACGAAAAAATTAATTTTGTATAGCCTTAGATACGAACATGAGTCCATTAATTACAACAGATTTAAAAAAAACATCCGACCGATCCAATTTTTCTGATTCCATGTTATTCAAAACGAAAAATTAACTTTGTGTGATCTAACATCTACTCTCTACCTTATTCTAAACTTCAAACTCTAACTCTAACATAAACAAACTTTAAAGAATTTTTGCTGCGCCATAAACCTTGCACACATTGCATACGTGCGTTGGGAAACTCCTTTCCAAATTCGATAAATTTTTTTTTATTTCAATTCTACAATCTTATAGAATTAAAATAAAAAATAAAACATTGAATTTAAATGGATAGTTGTTGAGAAAAGAAAAAATTTGCCTGATTTTACTTATGTATTCATGATATATAGCTAATAAAAGAAGCCCGTACAAATAAAATCTATTAGTAAATAAGAAATGATCACTAATTGTTAAATGAATTCCACAGACTACGGGAATAAAAGGGATTCCGAAAAATGATTTGCAAAATTGGCATATTCAACTAAATCGAAAAGAGCGATAATCTATTGAAATTGAAAATTTTTATTTAAAACAAATTATTAATTACATTTGAATCTGGTTTTCACTTCGCACCCCTCAGACTGGCCAATTACAATCTCTAATATACATTTATGCATCTAACTTAAAATATTCTTTAGTAGAATTTTTTAAAATATGTATGTCAGAAATTTCTTTAACATAATGTGATTTTTCGGATTTAATGATAATTGGCGGTACAAGAGTATATGAATTAATTTCTCTCGATTGAATAATGTTAACTAGTTCGACATCAAGTGGTCTATGTGATGATTTTGTTGAGTTGCCAAGTTTTTCTAATAACTTAAGAGCACCAGAATATGAGACAGCATAGGCAAATGTGCAATATGGCTTCTCAGATTTAAATAATTTATAATCAGATGAGTTAATATTACTGCCTGGTAAAGGTTCACCAGATTTACCTTCAGAATTATTACAATAACCAAGATATATAATGTCCCAATCAGTAGGTAAAATTCGATGTATATCGACCATAATTGATGTGATTCTAAGTTCAATGTCTATATCGCCTTCTAAAATCAAAGCACTACCATATTTATAATTAATAATTGATTTGTAGACTTCATAATGATTTGAATAAGAGGAAATAGCACTGAAATTAGTAAAAACTAAACATAATCTATATGACATTTTTGTTAATTTTCTAACTATTTTTTGATAGTCTGGATCGTCCTCATAATTAATAAGGTAAATATTATTAAACCCAAGAGTATTATTAGTTTCTTTAACAAGTCCAAAATGCTCTAAAGCGGAATGTTTTAGAGAGGTGAAATAATAATATTTATCATCAGGTGCAATGTCTGATGGATTAATTGAAGAACGCCACTGTACCGTTACCAATGGTTCAAGAGAATAAGAATCAATATATCCTAACCCAAATAAATTAACAACTGTTGAATCAATTGTGCCAGTTATTGGGTTGAGTCTTTCTACTAATTTGAGGATGCCAGATCGTGAAACAGCGTAACTATGAAGACAGTATGGTAGATGAGATTTACGTATTACGTAAGGTGATAAAATACTTTGGCCATCCAATAGACGACCAAACCCTTCAGTATAGCTACAATATCCAAGAAAATAGATATCCCAATTGGATGGCAAAAATCGATATGTATCTGATATAATTGA